ACCCTCCGCCTCAGCTCCGTGCCCGCCCCGCAGAACAAGTGACGACGGCGCTGCATCCGTGCACGACGAGGACCCAGCCCCTCCCACGGCGTGCGATGCGCGAGGGCCGTCTGATGCGGACGGACAGAACGAGGATCGTGCGCGCGAGATGCCCGACGTGGATGCAGCGCACTGGAAGCACAGAGTCGGCGCGAGGGTCGAGGTGTAGCGCAGCGTCCCGGACGTCTCCCCGCAAATCGCGCCCATGCACAGCTATCGCGCCTATACACAGCTATCGCCTCCAGCGCACCGCGCACCCGCGCACCCGCCGCTCGCCGCGGAGAAATCGTCGAAGGAGGGAGCGCGGCGCAGCGAGAACGAGACTCCCCTCATACTCCGCCCTGCCCAAAGGAAGCCCAGAGGCGAGGGCGTCAGCGGCGGCCGAAGGGCGGGGCGGAGAGCGCGGAATACAGGAGATGGCGCGCGAAGACGGTGGGGTGCAGGCTATCGGGCTGCGTGCTGCTGCCCCGAAGACAGACCCAGCGCGATGGTGCGGGTACGCGTGTGGGCGTGCCACGTCGCGCACGGAGAGGCGGCGCATGCGTCTGCACCAGAGCGTGTGCGCGCCGGCCACGACGCACGCTGCACCAACAAAGCGGTGCGGCGCACGAAGTGGAGGGCGTTTGTGACGGCGCGCGCGCGCGCGTCCGACGTGAGGCGGGCGTAAAGACGAAGTCGAGGCAAGGGCGGCGCCGCGTCATCCACCATCGGTTCCGCGGCCGATGCACACGGCGAGGGCGCCCAATGCGAGCGACGAGCCCGCCCACACGGGGCGCGGGGCGGTGGGGGCGGGTGGTAAGCGGGTGCTGTGTGAAACGGATCCAGCTCCTCCCTAGCTTCGAAGACTTCGTCCACGGCGCACAGCGGCTTATGGCGGGAAGGAAACCTGCGGCTCGGGGAGAAGACACGGCAGGGGGGAGTGGAGGCGTGCTCGATCGTCGAGCGCGGACAGCTCTAGGAGGCACGAGGCTGCCGCGTGCTCGACGAACTCGCGAAACGCGAGGAAGCAAACACAGTGGGCGCCACGTCATCAACGCCGAGGGAGCTGCGGGCGACGAGCCGCGGAGCGTCGGCGGGCGCCAAATGACCGATACAAGGACGCGCGCGTGGCTGATTGACGCGCACGCGCACAGGATCCCGCGGAGGCAGCCGCGGAGGCACGACGGCGGGGTGAAGGCGCTCCGTGGACAGCCGGGCGGCATAGATGCAGGTGCTGTACGAATGAATGTCGGCGAAGGCGTTACGTCGCGATGTGTCGAGCAGGAGGCGGCCGAGAAGGAGGTCTTGCAGGCGCGGGCGCGATAATTGTGAGGGGGAGGGGTGTGTGTCGGCTCCCGGGCGCGGGTGGTGCGGGGCCACCGAAGAGCGCGTACGACGCGGACGGGGCGAATGCCATACGCGGGCGGCTGTGCTCGACACTCCTAGACGCAAGATGGGGAGAGCGGGCGCAGGTGGCTCCGGAAGCGGTGCGCTGCGTCAGCCTCTCCCCCGCCGTCTCCTCAGTTCCCCACCGCTCTCCCCGCCCCTCCCTCTCTCTTTCCCTCCCACCCTCCCCCTCCCGTCTTCCTCTCCCACCTCCTCATCTTCACCGTCCCTCACGACCCCCTACACCCGCATCAGCCGCCTCCTCCAACAGGAAAACAGGCACAAACTCACCCGCGCCCCAGCGCGCGCAACAGCTCCGCGTGCTTCGCCGCGGCGTCCTTCCGCAGCGTGCCCATCGCGCTGTTGGTGATGAGGCCCGTCTGCACCTGTGCGAGGGTTAGCGTCGAGGCGGAGGCAGTAAGACGAAGGGGGGATAGAAGGGAGAAGGGAGAAGGAAGAGGGAGGAGCGGGGACGGTAGAGGGCACGGAAACAATTAGAAAGACGAATGAAGGAAGGGAGAGATGCGCGGAACACGGGAGGAAGGGGTAAGCGCGTAACACGGCAAGGAAGCAAGGAGAAGGAAGAGAGAATAGGAGGGCGTAGAAGCGCGGCGGACAGCGAGCGAAGCAGGGAGGGAGGGAGGAAAGGAGGGGGCGAGGAGCGCGGGGAGGGGGAAAGGGAAAGCAAGGAAGGCGGCGCGGATATGGGGGCGCGGATAGCCGGGGACGAGGGGAAAGGAGATGAACGGGAGGAACGGGCAGCGGGACGAAGAGGGTGCAGCACGCAAGGCGGGGCAGAGCACGGGCGAGACACGAAAGGGAGGACGAAGGGAACGACGCAAGGAGGGGCGACGAGCGAAGGAGGCGAGAGGACGAGGGGGTGTGGATAGGAAAAGATGTGCCGTGACGGGATGGACCGAGACGCGGAGGGTACGATAGACAATGGACGGTGCGGTAGGAGAGGAATGAGGAGCAAGTCATCCGCGGCTCGGAGGGAAGGAAGATGGGATGGCAGGATGGGAAGACGGCCGGAAAAGCAGGAGGGAAGGACGGTGGGAAGAGGAGGGGAAACACGAAGAACGGGTCATGTAGGGAGAGCCCGCGGCAAAGATAAGGGAGCACGCGGCATGGGAAAGGAGGGGGGGAGGCGGCACGCGGCACGGGATGGGACGCAGGAAAGGACGAGTCGACGAAAAGAGCCGGAGGGGAATGAGAGGGATAAGGAAGTGCGTGGCGCTAAAGGCACAGCGGGCGAGGACACGGAGGGCGCGCGCGGCGACGGGGAGGCCCGTTGCAGGAAGGGAGGGAGGCCCGTCGCGGGAAGGAAGGGAGGAGGGGGGAGAAGAAGATAAGAAGGCGGGTGCGGTGTACCGGATGGGACGGATGGGATGAGACGAAGAGAGGGTGGAGGGAAGGGAAAGAGGCCGGGCGGGGGGAGGGGAGACGAAGAGAGCGGAGCACGAGGGGAAGAATGGACAACGGAGATGACGGAGTGAAGGACAGAGGGAGCGATAACCCCGACGCGAAAGAGGAGGAGCGTGCGGCGGCGGCGGGTGGCAGGAAGGGAGGGCCGGAAGATGAGTCGACATTGGGCGGGCGCCCAAGGAGGACGGAAAGACGGGAAGTGGAGCACGGGAGGGACGAAGGAAGAATCGAGGGGCACGCACGGCGGGCGCGTGGACAACAAGGAAGGGGAGGGCGTCGCGAAGCACAGAGGATGCGCGAGAGAAGGGACGGGACGGGACGGGGAGAAGAGCACGGGGAGGGCGTGGAGGGGATAAAGCGGGGGACGGGGCGGGGTAGCAGGCCGCACTCGGAATGCACCGGGACGCAAAACGGGGTAGGAGGAGCGGGGTAGACAGAGAGGCGCGGGGTAGAAGCGCCGGGTACGGAAGCCGATGGCATATAAAACCACCAAGCGAAGCAAAGTGAGGAAAATAAAACCGCCCCATCGAGAAAAGACACGCAAGGAAAACGCAGGAAAAAAAAACGCACGCTAAACACATCGAGCGCCTGCTGCAGGTCGGCGGCGCACTCCGCGAGCTGGCCCTGCGTCTCCGCGTGCCGCACGATGCGCGCCCACAGCCCCGCGACGGCCTGCGTGCGCAGCAGGGCGTGCACTCGCGTGAGGGTCCTGCGCTCGCTCAATTAGCTTTGCGGCCGGTACAAGAGGAGAGAGTGGAGCAGGAGACGCACCCAATGAACTGGTCGATGCTCCGCGCCATCATGGGCGCCATGAGGCCCTTGGCGTCGCCGGTGAGGTTGATGAGCGCGCGCACGATCTGGTGCACGCGCTCGAGGAGCTGCAGGCATTGGGCTTTGTTCGTGCGGACGGACTGTGACAGTGCGCCCCGTCAGCGACTGGTACGATCAAGACGGAGGGGCGGGGGCGAGGGGAAGGGACAACGAAGGAGGGGGAAGGGAGGGGCAGGGAGGGCGAAAGGGCAGCGGAAAGGGCAGCGGCAGGGACAAGAAGGGCGGGGGCGGAGGGGAACAGCAACGGAGGAAGCGGGTGCGGGGCGAAAGCTCGGGATCGCAAGGGAGGCGGGACTCGGCCGCTCGAGGAGAGAGGAGACCGCACGCACCTGCACCGTATCAAAAAGCAGCGCACAGCTGCTCGCCACGATCTGCAGGCCCTCCAAGACCGGGCTCGCGCTACTCCCCGAGTTCATGCTCCCCACGATGCTCCCGAGCAGCCGGGAAGCGTCGAGCCCGCGCTGCACGACGTCGTCCGTGACCCGGCTCGCTTTGGAGCGCCGCAGGAAGAGCGGCGTCGTGTCCGTGCTGAAGCCGGGCGTGCCTTTGCTTTTCTTCTCATTACTGGTGCCGTTGCTATTGCCGCCGTCGGCGTCGACGTCGGTGGAGCTAGAGGAGGTGGAGAGCCCCGAGGAGGAGAGGAGGGCGGAGAGCGAGGGGAGCGCGAGGCCCGCGGGCGGCGGGGGGTTGCGGTCGCGGCGCGCGTGGCGGATGGCCGGCATTGCGGGCGAGTATTATGAGCAGTGCTAGGCGGGAGACGAGTAATGCGAGTACGACGAGTCTGACTCGTCGGCAGTGGAGACGAGTACTGGGAACGCGAGAGGCGGATCCGGGCTATGTGCTATCCCCGCGCTCTTGCCGATTATACGTGGGCAGATGAAAGCAAAAAGCAAGTACGCCTGGTAAGCATCGATCAGCTTCGGAATCCTAGGACGCGGTGTGTGGGACGTACGCTGCCGGTTCGGGGTTCCTTCCGATTCAAGCTCTCTCTCGAGTCGCGCCTCCGTGCACGGAGAATCAGAGGTGCCTATCCGTCAAGCCACGTTCATGCGTTTGATACGTGCGAGCGAGCGTCCCTGAGCCGCAGCCGTCGGAGTCTCAGTCAAGCCTTGGGAATTCTGCCGAAGCGACGGGTGACGGTGAGAAAGATGAGACTGAGTATGCCGCTATTTGTCGGTCCCCCGTCAACCAAACACACACAACGATCGCTTCGTTTTCAACCGCGGTTCAACAATACTTCGACCAGGACCCTAAAAAAAACTGCAGGGACAGCGTGGACACCGAAGATATGAAGGACTACTGGTCGGCAAAAAAAAAAAAAATGGGTTACTGCGCGGAGATGGGGACGCGGGGGGTCGAACCCCGGCCTGCTGCATCATGCAAGTTTCGACGGAACTATCCAATGCAGCGGTGCGCCGTACACCACGTCCCCTCCCTCCCCATTTTACACCCGAATATATCAATTACCTTTCACCCTCACCCTCACCCTTGCACGGGTGGCCATCAGAAGAACTCGTCCGCTCACCGGCAAGTAAACTGCCAGTCCTAGTATCGAGCACCCATCCCATGCTTGGAGACGTATACATACATGCACGCCATCTCGCCCCAAGACAGATTTTTTAAAATAAAATAAATAAAAAACATACAGATTTTAACTCCAATGTGGGACGCGGGGAGTCGAACCCCGGCCTGCTGCATAACTTATCACACTTGGATGCAGCAAATGCAGTGGTGTACCGTGCACCACGTCCCCTTCCTCCTCCCCCTTCTGAACCTCAATATATCAGTTCCTCTTGGACGACGGGCCCTTGACGGAGGCAGAGGTAACTATAATTCTCCGAATTTCTGCCAACCCACTCGTCAGCCTATTCGATCCGCGCTTGAGGAATCGGACTCCACACTAACAATTTGGCCAAAGAGTCGTAGAACCCCTCCCCTTTCCAGCGAGAAATTGATTGATGAAGAGAAAAAGAGGTGTGTCATGCAAAAGGAATGGGGGACGCGGGGGGTCGAACCCCGGCTTGCTGCATAATGCCCTGGGATACTACCTATTCATTTAATGCAGCGGTGCGCCGTACACCACGTCCCCTCCCTCCCCAATTTACACCTGAATACATGCTTGACTTCCAGCAGCACAACATCGACCGGATTCCAAAGCACATACGTCCCTGAGCGCACTAAATAGAATAGTTCATTCTCAAATGCTTATCATCTGCACCTACTTAATATCCAATTGGAGGACGCAACCCGAAAGCCCGCTATGCACATCGCACTGGCCGGTCTACGGGCGGAAATTCGACGGAAATAAATTTAAAAAAAAGATTGCTCGACATGCCTGTAATGTGGGACGCGGGGAGTCGAACCCCAGCCTGCTGCATTCACTCAGGTCCTCAATAGCAAATGCAGCGGTGCACCATACACCACGTCCCCTTCCTCCCTTCAATTTTAACCTCAAGACATACCTGACTTCTTGACTTCTAGCAGTAGGGGCATATGAAGGAGCCTGAGGGAATTTTCGTTCGCGTTATCCCGGGCACCAGTCGGAAAAGAAAAGAAAAGAAAGATCATGTCTTGGAGTATCGTCACGGTGTCTCATAGCTCTGAGAAATTTAACACCGAGGATAGGCGGAATGGAGTCGATGGGGACAAAAAGGCTTAGGATGGGCAGATGGAGATGCGGGGAGTCGAACCCCGGCCTGCTGCCTAATGCCCCGCATGTAGAGTAATCGGCAAATTAATGCAGCGGTGCGCCGTACACCACGTCCCCTTTTTCCCTCCCAATTCAACGTAGATATATGGAATCCTTTTCACCCATTCACGGGTGGCCATCAGAAGAACCCAGAACTCATCCGCTCACCTTCAAGTAAATTGCAAGTGAGTGGATTCATCCCCTGGGAGACGCACATGCAAGCCATCTCTACCGCCCCAAGACAGATTTTTTTTTAAAGAAAAAAAAAACATACAGATTTTACCACCAATGTGGGACACGGGGAGTTGAACCCCGGCTTGCTGCATAACTTATCACACTTGGATGCAGCAAATGCAGTGGTGCACCGTACACCACGTCCCCTTCCCCTCCCCGATTCCAGCCTGAATATATCAGTTCCTCTTGGGCGACGGGCCCTCAAATGCCAAGAGCCTGAGCTAATATTTCTACCAACCCACTCGCTAGCTAACTGGACGCGCGCGCAAAAAATCGGACCCCACACTAACAATTTGAGCAAAGAGTCGTAGAACCCCTCCCCTTTCCAGCGAGAAATTGATTGATGAAGAGAAAAAAGAGGTGTGTCATGCGAAAGGAATGGGGGACGCGGGGAGTCGAACCCCGGCCTGCTGCATAATGCCCTGCGATACCATCTATTCATTTAATGCAGCGGTGCGCCGTACACCACGTCCCTCTTCCTCCCTCCAAATTCAGCCTGAATACATACTTGACATCTGGCGGCACGGCCCTCGCCCGCAGGAGTCCGACCCCGTGAGAGCTCCACCAGATTATACTCAAAAAGTGTGTTCTCAAATGCCCATCATCCGCACCTGCTTAATATCTAATTGGAGGACGCAACCCGAAAGCCCGCCATGCATATCGCACTGCCCGTTTTACGGGCGGAAATTTGACGGAAATAATAATAAAAAAGATTGTTCGACATGCCTGCAATGTGGAACGCGGGGAGTCGAACCCCGGCCTGCTGCATTCAACCTGCTCAAATCCTCAATAGCAAATGCAGCAGTGCACCGTACACCACGTCCCCGTCCTCCCTTCAATTTTAACCTCAAGACATACCTGACTTCTTGACTTCTAGCAGTAGGGGCATATAAAGGAGCCTGAGGGAATTTTCGTTCGCGTTATCCCGGGCACCAGTCGGAAAAGAAAAGAAAAGAAAGATCATGTCTTGGAGTATCGTCACGGTGTCTCATAGCTCTGAGAAATTTAACACCGAGGATATATGTTCGGCGGAATGGAGTCGATGGGGACAAAAAGGTTCAGAATGGCCAGATGGGGACGCGGGGAGTCGAACCCCGGCCTGCTGCCTAATGCCCCTGGAGAGTAATCAACAAATTAATGCAGCGGTGTGCCGTACACCACGTCCCCTTCCCCTCCCCATTTTACACCTCAATATATCAATTACCTGTCACCCTCACTCACTCTTGCACGGGGTGGCCATCAGAAGAACCCAGAACTCATATGATCATCCGCTCACCTGCAAGTAAACTGCAAGTCAAGTGGATTCATCCCATCCTTGGAGACGTATACGTACATGCACGCCATCTCCCGCCCCAAGACAGATTTTTTTTTAAAGAAAAAAAAAAAACATACAGATTTTAACCCCAATGTGGGACGCGGGGAGTCGAACCCCGGCCTGCTACATAAGTTATTACACCCGGGTCAGTAAATGCAGCGGTGCACCGTACACCACGTCCCCTCCCTCCCTCCAATTCAGCCTGAATACATGCTTGACTTCTAGCAGCACAACATCGACCGGATCCCAAAGTACGTCCCAGTGAGAGCTCCACTGACTAAATTAGTTGATTCTCAAATGCTCATCATCTGCACCTACTTAATACCGAATTGGAGAACGGAAATCAGAGATCCAGCTATGCACATCGCACTGCCTGTTTTACGGTCGGAAATTTGACGGAAATAAAAATAAAATAAAAAGATTGCTCGACATTCCTGTAATGTGGGACGCGGGGGGTTGAACCCCGGCCTGCTGCATTCAACCCGCTCAAATCCTCAGTAGCAAATGCAGCGGTGCACCGTACACCACGTCCCCTCCCTCCCCATTTTACACCCGAATATATCAATTACCTTTCACCCTCACCCTTGCACGGGGTGGCCATCAGAAGAGCCCAGAACCCAGAACTCATCCGCTCACCTGAAAGTAAATTGCAAGTGTGGAGCACCCATCCCATGCTTGGAGACGTACATGCAAGCCATCTCTACCGCCCCAAGACAGATTTTTTTAAAATAAAATAAATAAAAAACATACAGATTTTAACCCCAATGTGGGACGCGGGGGGTCGAACCCCGGCCTGCTGCCTAATGCCCCGCACGTAGAGTAATGGCAGTGGTGCACCGTACACCACGTCCCCTTCCCCTCCCCGATTCCAGCCTGAATATATCAGTTCCTCTTGGGCGACGGGCCCTTGACGGAGGCAGAGGTAACTATCATTCTCCGAATTTCTGCCAACCCACTCGTTAGCTGACCAATACTGGATCCTTGCCAGAAAAATCGGACAATGCACGGCAAATGTGAAAAACACCTCCGTTTTCAAGGCGAATTGAGGAAGAAAAAGAACATTGTGTACCATTGCACATGTGGGACGCGGGGGGTCGAACCCCGGCCTGCTGCATTCAGTCAGATCCTCAATAGCAAATGCAGCGGTGCACCATACACCACGTCCCCTTCCTCCCTCTCCATATTCAACCTGACTATATGGAGTACCTTTCACCTGTTCCCCGGGTGGGCATCAGAAGAGCCCAGAACCCAGAACTCATCCGCTCACCTTCAAGTAAATTGCAAGTGAGTGGATTCATCCCATCCTTGGAGACGTATACGTACATGCACGCCATCTCTACCGCCCCAAGACTGATTTTTCTTTATTGCAGTTTGCATAATAGTTGGGAAAACACGGATCAACAACAAAATTGGGCCCGTTTGACCTCCGATAGTATTTCATTTGTTTCTCGCTCAATACTGCACGGATTCCTTAGATACCATATGCAAAATTCACCGTTTATCAAGGCGCATTTTACTGTACCGTAATTATAGTCCCTTGTGAAGTTTCGAGAAACCCAGTTTTGGGGATCCACAAACGCGCGCGTGAATTTTCACGCCGAGTACTGGACACTTCGGGCTAATCCAAAAAGTAAGAAGGGTGGGCATTCTTTCTAGGCATACGCTCCCAAGGTTTGGGGGGAATCGGGCTTGAAATACGCCCACCGCGACGCGACGAAGATGCCCAATCAATTTGGGTGACTCAGTGACACGTCACGACTCTTTTCTTGTCCTTCCTCCATCTATGCCTCCTCGACGATGGTTAAAGGCAAGCCGATATCGGAGGACCTCCGCTGGTCCATCGTTCGAATGCACAGCCTGAGTGTCCCAGTCGGGAAAATTCATGCCTTCACAGGCGTCGGCACAGGACAAATTTACAGAATTATAAACCGGTTTCTAACAACGGGCAAAGTGCTGACGGCGACCCAACGAAGGAAGACTGGGCGTACTCGACACCTTAGCTCTCGCGATGTAGCGGTAGGTTCTTCATTTCCCTTTATTCTTTACTGACTCTGACTCTGCGGCAGTATCTACAAGGCTGTTTAGATCAGAGTTGTGATAAGTACCTCGCGGAACTACAACTCGGGCTCCAAGAAACCTGTGGATGAGAAGTCTCTCAATCTACAGTCTGGCGGGCACTAAAACGGAGCGGGTATACAATGATGAAGGTAACAACACTAATGCTCATCCGATACAGTTGCTAACACACTTCACTTGTAGCTGACACGCGTCGCCATTGAACGAAGTGTTATGAAGCGTGCAAGATATAAACTCAAGATAGGCCTACAATACCTTCCCCACCAGCTCGTCTTTGTCGATGAAAGCTCGTGCGATCGTCGTACATCATATCGAGGCCGGGCATGGGCCATCAGAGGGCAACGCGCGGTGCGAAAGGCATTTTTCATTAGGGGGAAACGGTGCGCAAACATGTCTACTACTCTAAATATATCCTAATCGCCCGTCCATAGATACTCTGTGCTTCCTGCCATCTCGCTGGACGGCATTCTCTATGTCAGCATCCTGGAAGGGTCGTTTACGACCGACACTTTCATAGACTTCATTGATGGACTGCTGGACAAGATGACTCCATTTCCGGGTCCCAATTCGGTGATTGTGATGGACAACTGTCGCATTCACAAGGCGGAAGAGATACGGGAAATGATTGAAGAGCGGTGCGTCCTTCTTGCTTACCATCTTTGATCTTGTTACTGATCTCCTGAACCCAGTGGTATGCGCTGCATCTACCTACCACCATACTCGCCCGACTACAATCCCATGGAGCCCGGCTTCTCCAAGATCAAGGCGTACGTTCGCCGAGAAGGGCAGCAGTTTAGGGCGGCTACAGAGGCAGAGGATGACAAGGTGGCAGTCTTGACTCAACTGCACAATGCTGTCTTTTCCATCACCCCAGAGGATGCGGCAGGCTGGTTCCGTCATTCTGGATACTTTTAATACAACAAGTTATTATTAGTGTACAAGAGAATCTACAAGAATTACTTGGCTGCCCACTCGCGCGCTGCCTTTCGATTTTTTTTGCAGTCCGCAATGGCATATTTGATCAATAATCTCGATGCTCCAACCGACAAGCCTTCGCCAACCATCTCACGCAGCATAAAATCCCCGTCCTTTCCCGCATCGGCAATCTGATTGCCGCGCATAAAGCCATTCGCACGAAAGGCGTCTGTAAAGCGATGGAATTGATGGCCATCCGCTCCACGCTCGCTTGTGTCGAGGTCAAGGAGCCAATCACCGATTGGTGTATACATGGTAGGAAGATCGTCGTCCTGGGAATCCAGGCTCTCCCCTTTACGCAATCTTGTTGAGGCTGGCGGCGGGGATTGCTGGGGTCGTGGGACAGCAGGATCGGGAACGGGAGCGGGAGTAGGTGGTGGCGGATAATGAAGCTCGCCGTATGGCCCAGGCGGCTGGCCGTATGGCCCGGGTTGAGGAGGATAGTATGTGTAAGGATACGAGTAGGGGTAGGGTCCGGGTCCAGGCGGAGGTTGTTGCTGGATGCGGCGTGCGGGGGGAGGTGCCTTCGTCCCTGTCTCCATAGGCAAGTTTAGTACAGGGGGCGGGTCTGAGATGGATTTATGGACATCTTGTGCCTAATAATACTTAGAATGATGCGCACGAATCGGAGAGTTACATACCAAAAGCATACTCCACAAACTGAGGTTTGCATTGGAAAGGGTGATGTGCTCCCCATTGGCCGCAACGATACAGAAGGATCCGTGCTTGTCGCACTTGTGCTTGGCCTCCAGTTCGCGCATGTAGTCCGTGCCGGTTCTTTTCTTGACTCCAGCATTTATGTTGTCGCTGTCACTTCCGCTATCATCCGCTTTTTTGCTTCTACCCTTCTGGGATGGATGAGGAGATGATGGAAAGACAGAGAAGTGTCACATACCTTTGCAGGCCCCTTCTTTCCTTTCTTGTCGGCCTTCTCTTTAGCTTCACTAAGGTCAACAATAATTACGTGCAATTTTTTCTTGGTTTTGCTCTTCTTTTTGTCGGTTAGCTCTTCGCGTGCTTGGTTGAAAAGTTGGAGGATGTGGGCGTCGGTCTCAAGCTTCCGCGGGCGCTCCCGCTGAGGCCAACTGCTCAATTTGTATGCAATATCAAGATGCTTTACTGGAACGTCCATTTTTTCAGCAATCTTTTTGAAAAACTTTCTTTCGGAGATGGTGGAAGACAGGGAGAGGGAGTCCGAGGCGCCCCCGAGAGGCGCAAGAAATTCAAGGGTTATTTCTGGAGTCGAAGATGAGAGCCGTAAAACTGGATAGACTGTAAACGCACCCAGAACTTCCTCTTCCTCTTCCTCCTCTTCCTCCAGGTCTTCTTCCTCCTCCTCCTCGCCGTCGTCATCGTCGTATTCAAAGTCAGCTTCTCCAGAGCATCGGGAATTGGCTAGACCGAGTAATGCTTGGGTGGCAGCCTCAACGTCTTCATCAGACACATCATTGTCTGGTTCGGATAGGTCTTGGACAGAGGATTCAAGAGTAGTGTCGGGAAGGACTTCAGAGTCTGAGGAAGCGCTGGTGGACATGGGTGTGGTAGTCGAAGTAGCAGGAGTATCGCCTGAGAGGCGAGGGATTTTGAGAGTTATTTTCTTGTTGGGCAGCTCGGGCTCTGCATCTTGCAGGGTCGTCGTCTTGCGAGGTCGCCCTCTGCGTGGGGGGGGTTGGTCGGGGTGGTCGGTGCCCTTGCGCTTTGGCGGCATGGCGTGAAGAAAGAGCGCGAGTCGTGACACGTCACTGAGTCACCCAAATTGATTGGGCATCTTCGTCGCGTCGCGGTGGGCGTATTTCAAGCCCGATTCCCCCCAAACCTTGGGAGCGTATGCCTAGAAAGAATGCCCACCCTTCTTACTTTTTGGATTAGCCCGAAGTGTCCAGTACTCGGCGTGAAAATTCACGCGCGCGTTTGTGGATCCCCAAAACTGGGTTTCTCGAAACTTCACAAGGGACTATAATTAGGGTACAGTAAAATGCGCCTTGATAAACGGTGAATTTTGCATATGGTATCTAAGGAATCCATGCAGTATTGAGCGAGAAACAAATGAAATACTATCGGAGGTCAAACGGGCCCAATTTTATTGATCCGTGTTTTCCCAACTATTATGCAAACTGCAATAAAAAAGAAAAAAAAAAAAAAAAAAAAAAAAAAACATACTGATAACTTCCCTCCAATGTGGGACACGGGGAATTGAACCCCGGCCTGCTGCATAACTTATCACACCTGGATGCAGCAAATGCAGTGGTGCACTGTACACCACGTCCCCTTCCTCCTCTCTCTTCTGAACCTTCATATATCAATCCCTTTTGGAAGCGGGTGCATACGAAGAAGCCTGAGGAAAGTTTAGCAACCTAATCTTGGCTAAGGTTCACCAGGGGTAAAGGTAAGGTATAAAACTTCATACCTCTACCTCTACCTCTGAAACCCTTACCCTCAGAGAGGTAAACCTCTACCTTACCCAGAGGTATTCAGAGGTATGACCTCTCCATACCTCTGGCCTACCTCCCAAGAGGTATTAAGGAGGTTTGTCCTGAACATGGTCTACATATACATTTTCCAATACTACAAGTATTATATATACCTCTTATCAGGGATTGAGCCCCAGGCTCAGCACATACAACAGTATTTGTTATGTGAAAGTTATTAGCCAATCCACAATAATAATGGCTTGGCTGAGATTCAAACTAAGGAGAGTTAGCATTGACACCCAAGTTCCATCTACAACCTCCCTGTCCTGGAATGAGGGGAAACAATCAGGAAAAAGATACACAGAGATCCTCCCCATAGTTAGATTCTGTACCTCTCTATATCTCTCTACCTCCAGAGGTTGGGAGAGGTTTGGTGAAAGGTTTGGTGAAAGGTAAAGATGAGGCTACCTTTACCTCTACCTTCCCCATACCTCCCCCCCTACCTCCAGAGGTATACCCTTACCCCTGGTAAACCCTAATCTTGGCATCGCAGTCACGGTATCCTGCGCCGAGACAGGACCCGTCGAACCCCGGCTAGCTGCATATGCCCTTATCATCATCTGCAGCAAGCAATGCAGCGGTGCGCTGTACACCACGTCCCCTCCCTCCCCATTCTACACCTGAATATATCAATTACCTTTCACCCTCACCCTTGCACGGGGTGGCCATCAGAAGAACCTAGAACTCATCCGCTCACCTTCAAGTAAGTTGCAAGTGAGTGGATTCATCCCATCCTTGGAGACGCACATGCAAGCCATCTCTCCCGCCCCAAGACAGATTTGTTTTTTTTTAATTAAAAAAAATACCGACATATTCTCAAATGTGGGACGCGGGGGGTCAAACCCCGGCCTGCTGCCTAATGCCCCGCACGTAGAGTAATCGACAAATTAATGCAGCGGTGCGCCGTACACCACGTCCCCTTCCCCTCCCCAATTCCAGTCTGAATATATCAGTTCCTCTTGGGCGACGGGCCCTTGACGGAGGCAGAGGTAACTATAATTCTCCGAATTTCTACCAACCCACTCGGACCCGTGCTTGAGAAATCAGACCCCACACTGACAATTTGAACAAAGAGTCGTAGAACCCCTCCCCTTTCCAGCGAGAAATTGATTGAGGAAGAAAAAAAAGAGGTGTGTCATGCGAAAGGAATGGGGGACGCGGGGGGTCGAACCCCAGCCTGCTGCATAATGCCCTGGGATACTACCTATTCATTTAATGCAGCGGTGCTCCGTACACCACGTCCCCTTCCTTATCCCAAATTCAACCTCATTACCTCCATTACTTCTAGCACGGGGAGTACGCGAAGGAGCCCACATACTTCTAATCATAGGTTCATCGACACTTACAAATCGAACTATGCATCTTGCACTCTTTCAGCTATCCAAATCGAACTCATCACAAGGCTGAGAGCAAAAAAGAACGCAGGATGAAGTGGGACACGGGGAGTCGAACCCCGGCCTGTTGCATTCAAATCGCTCTAATCCTTAATAGCAAATGCAGTGGTGCACCGTACACCACGTCCCCTTCCTCCTCTCTCTTCTGAACCTCTATATATCAGTTCTTTTTCGGAAGCGGGTGCATACGAAGAAGCCTGAGGAAAATTTCGCAACCTGATCTTGGCGTCGCCTTGTCCGGCTCCGACACAGGACCCGTCGGAAGAAAAAGACAAACGAAGTGTTGCACAAGGGACGCGGGGAGTCGAACCCCAGCCTGCTGCATCAACTCTGCGGAGAACTTCATATGCCATGCAGCGGTGCACCGTACACCACGTCCCCTTCCTCCCTTCAATTTTAACCTCAATATATCACGTAGAATTCGAACCGAGAGTTTTGTCCAAATGAATTTGGCCGAAAACCAAAGCATATACTCATGGAAGTGGGACGCGGGGAATCGAACCCCGGCCTGCCGCACTCGCTCAGATCCTCAATAGCAAATGCAGTGGTGCACCATACACCACCTGCCTTATTACAAATTCGCCCTGACTATATCGCGTAATATTGTATGCCTCACGAAGGAAATCCAAAAAGGTGCATTCAGACATATGGAATGTGGGACGCGGGGAGTCGAACCCCGGCCTGCTGCATAATGCTCGCAGATGGTAAACCAATTAATGCAGTGGTGCGCCGTACACCACGTCCCCTTCCCCTCCCCAATTTACGCCTGAATATATCGATTCCTTTAGCGGCAGGGCCACCTAAAAGAAGCAGAGGTAACTATAATTCTCCGAATTTCTACCAACCCACTTGTTAGCTAACTGGACGCACGCTTGAGAATTCGGACCTTGCACTAACAATCTGAACAAAGAGCCATCAAGAGAATTGCGGAAGAAAAAGAAAGTTGAAGCGCTGGAAGTGGGACACAGGGAGTCGAACCCCGGCCTGCTGCATAAGCGCACAGCGATAGATCTACCAAATGCAGCGGTGCACCGTACACCACGCCCCCTTCCCTATACCAAATTCGACCTTACGATATCGCGTATAATTGTATGCCTCACGGAAGAAGTCCAAAAAGATTTCCCGGGACATACGGAATGTGGGACGCAGGGGGTCGAGCCCCGGCCTGCTGCATATGCGCACAGCGATAGATCTATCAAATGCAGCAGTGCACCGTACACCACGCCCCCTTCCTCCCTCTGAATTCACCTTTGATATATGCTTGACTTCCGGTGGCAGCACCTGAAAGCTTCATGTGGGAAGACAAGAACAAAAAGAGGCCGACCATGCCAGTGAATAGGGACGTGGGGAGTCGAACCCCGGCTTGCTGCACATGTGCACAGCGATAGACCTATCAAATGCAGCGGTGCACCATACACCACGTCCCCTCCCTCCTCTCCATTTTCGGCCTGACTATATGGAGTACCTTTCACCTGTTCACCGGGTGGCCATCTGAAGAACCCAAGTAAACTGCCAGGATCGAGAGCAATATCGAGCACCCAAGTCATCCCCGCAGACCTAGATCTACCCCCCATTTCGAATGCCTCCCAAATCGGTGTCGACAATAGAGAGCTTGCGCAAAAGCCGCACGAGCCGCACGCGGCTTTTGTGCATTGCGCAAAGCCGCGGGTCTTTCTTTGCTGTTTTTAATTCTTGTCTTGCTAAATACCATTCAATGCCCCTTAAATCCCATAGTCCACTCCTTAGAGTGCTATTTGTTGGATGTGCAACTGCGGGAGGCCGCCTTTATCACGCATCACAAAGGCATTACTCGAGCTCCACTTTCTTTTCCCACACTCTCATGTCTGCCACGCAGCAGAGGCAATGCCGAGGATGTTCCCTCTCCCCACAGCACCTCTCCTCCGCCTCAGGTAAGCTTACATTGATTTACACCTCTCACATTTCAAATTTGCTGTGCGGCTTTGCGCAATGCAAAAATGCCGCGTGCGGCTCGTGCGGCTTTTGCGCAAGCTCTCTAATCAAATGCAGCGGTGTGCCCGGCGCCGTACACCACATCCCTCTCCCTATCCTCAGACTTGAACAGATACATTACTTTTCCGCCACCATGCTGCCAATTTCCATCCGAGCCTGCAAAGTCAAATCGCACGACCCAATTTGAACCTATACCACCAGTAGTCCAACCAGTAGAAATCCTGTTCGAATATATCCCTACAGATGGGACAAGAAGAAAAAGCTTTTCTCGACGCGCAAGGGGACGCGGGGAGTCGAACCCCGGCCTACTGCATAACGTTTATGAAACCCTGGTACTTAATGCAGCCGTGCACCGTACACCACTTCCCCATCCTCCCTCTGAATTCACCCTTGATATATGCTTGACTTCCGGTGGCAGCACCTGAAAGCTTCATGTGGGAAGACAAGAACAAAAAGAGGCCGACCATGCCAGTGAATGGGACGTGGGGAGTCGAACCCCGGCCTGCTGCATATGCGCACAGCGATAGATTTATCAAATGCAGTGGTGCACCGTACACCACGTTTCACGGGTGGCCATCAGAAGAAGAGCCCAGAACCCATCCGCTCACTGGCACCTGCAAGTAGAGTCAAGTGGATTCATCCCGTCCTTGGAGACGTATATGTACCTGCAAGCCATCTCTCCCGCCCCAAGACAGATTTTTTTTAAGAAAAAAAATACCGACATATTCTCAAATGTGGGACGCGGGGAGTCGAACCCCGGCCTGCTGCATCATGCTACTCTGTATTCCGATTCCAACCGTACCAGCGAATGCAGCGGTGCGCCGTACACCACGCGCCCTTCCCCTCCCAAATTTACACCTGACTATATCGATTCCTTTTAGCGGCAGGGCCACCCAAAAGAGGCAGAGGTAATTATCATTCTTCGAATGTCTACAACCCACTCGTTAGCTGACTGGACGTGCACGTGAAAAATCGGACCTTGCACTGGTAAGGCCTTGGGTAAGGCAAACAAAGAGTCGTCAAGTCTCCTATTTCAAGGATAAATTAATTGAGGAAGAGGAAAAAGGGGGGTACTGCAAGCCGAATGGGGGACATGGGGAGTTGTGAAGCGACCTGGCTTCGGCAGAGGGCTTCTCACAGGATATGAAGGGATACCAAGCGCAAGCGTATTGAGCGAGCGCTGGAGGCCGATAATCCGGGCCAATGGGGCCACTTGTAATCCTAGTGCGAGGGGCCATGTCATCCTTGACGGGATGAGCAGTTGAATGGAGTACTCAACTGGAGAGAGGGATTATCGGTGTCGCACGTACGACTCTGGCTTTCGGGCTCAGGTCGTAGTATGCATCAAAGAGTAATTCGATTCGGTAATCTATGATGCGGTGAGTTCCGCGGAATCCTGACTAAGCTACTGAATCGGGACAAGGCCTATGGGCATGCTAAATAAGTGTACGGTAAATATACTACACCATCACAGGAGTCAAGCCCCGGCCTGCAGCATAAGTTATTACACCTCGATCAGTAAATGCAGCGGTGCACCATACATCACGCCCCCTCCCTTCTCCCATTTCACCTTGAGCATACCTATAACCTTGCAGCCGTGGAGCACCGAATTTGAGAAGGGACACATGTCGCGTGCCGTTGAAACGGTGCAGTGGCGTGCAGCTGTGAAATCTAATATCAAAAGAGTAAGACAATAAGTCTTAACTCTTATCACACTAAACTCCAACAACCAATCACTCCAACAGTCTTATCGTTATTTAGTTTGGGGAGACGGGGACTCGTATCGACCCTTCAATTTCAGTAGAAAGACCACAGGTACTTTAGTGGGTGGAAGAGCCTCCTTTATATATCCAGTGTCTCCAGATGTCTTATCAACAGGGGTGTAGATGTTTTAAGTCTACGGGTGAGGTGGCTCGCGCCAGAGATTGGACTTGAAAATAGAAGACGGGCCGATGAGTGTGGGGAAGGGCATAGAAAGCTAACACAGTGACTGAGCTGACGTGAGTTTGAACTTGCAAGGTTCAGTGACTAGCGTGAACCAAGTGTGTAGAGAGCGGGCTGAACAATGTCACAGTGACTGAGCTGGCGCCGAGTTTGAACGTAAGTTCAGTGACTGAGCAGACAACTGAGTGTGATAGACAACGCTGACTAGACACCTAGGCCAGTGACTGGGCGGACACCGAAGGAGGGTAGAGAAGCTGAGTGTGGAAGGTTGGCTCTAAGGCTTTCTAGCACAGTGACTGGGCCGGCGTGAGTTTGAACTCTTGCAACAGAGCAGGGACTTGGCGCGGGATGAGTGTGTGGTAGAAAGCTGGTGCCGACTAGTGACTGAGCTGGCGCCGAGTGTGAACTTGCAAGGGTTCAGTGACTGGGACGGCAGATGAGTATAGTGCAGGCTCTTAGGCGAGTTGTCCAGTGACTGAGCTGAGCTCTGAGCTCAAAAGAGCTATGTGCCAATAACGGGGGAGTTTTCACTGCCTAACTACTGGTTTACATGCGGCTTTATACTACTGAACTAAGCGAGATGTACAAACATTGAATGAGTGATAATAAGGTATAAGCGAGCTCTCTGGCTCTGTCTCGGGTGCACCTCTTCTCTTTAGCGTCGCTTAGACGCCTCATCCTAATATCGTCCTTGTCATTTCCTACTATTCCTCGATTAATCCATCTCCTTAGCGAGCCTTAGAAAGCCGCAGCACTTCCTTGGACCAATGAGAAGCCAGCTCTTAGCGGATTCAACCCCAAAAGGGCCATCCTTCGTCGGCTAGCTTCGCTAAAGCCCTCTACTTCATAATTGTCTCCTGCTAATACCATCGGCTAATAGCTTCTCTAAGCGAGTGCCAAGCCTCCTGGTAAGCCTTCATTACTCAGGGCATCCTTGAGTTCGTCGAGGGAATTTGAGGGAAGTTGGTGCCAACTATTTATATATTTCCTGGCGCCGACTTGTGCAAATTTCCTCTTTCGGATTCTTTCTTCCTTATGAGATCCTCGTGCCAAGGTATGCGTTATCCTCGCCCCTTAGTTTACTTCAAGGGTTGGTGCCAGCTCTCAGCATGTAGCCTGGTGCTGACCTGTTTGAGTACGCTCCAATTTATACTGGCACGCTGTGAGCCATCACATTGTGATAGCTCCCGACGTGACCTCAAAACACCGAACTCCGAGAACAACGCCAAAAGCCTTCAACTAAAAACGATATCTGGACCCAACTAGTGGCTTGACAGAGAATCGAACTCCGAACCTTCCGTCAACCGATATACGAATGCTATAGGTGCACGGAATGCGTTACCATTACGCCAACAGGCCGTTCAAGGATCGAACTCAAGACCACAAAGGACCGACTCCGAGTAAAAAGTTATGGCTTGACGAAGAATCGAACTCCGAACACTCCATCAGCCGATATGAGAAGGTTAGATACACGGAGCGCGTTACCATTACGCCACCAAGCCATGGCCGAGCCATCACATTCAATGTGACCACAGACCGACTCCGAGTAAAAAGTCATGGCTTGACGGAGAATCGAACTCCGAACCCTCCATCAGCCGATATGAAAACGTTAGGTACACGGAGCGCGTTACCATTACGCCACCAAGCCATGACCGGACTACCAAAAATGACAATTACGACTACGCTACCAAGCCACAAAGGACCATGACAAAAATCATATCCAGACCCAACATGGCTTGACGGAGAATCAAACTCCGAACCTTCCATTAACTGATATAAAAACGCTAGGTACACGGAGCGCATTGCCATTACGCCACCAAGCCATGACCGGGCTACCAAAAATAACAATTACTACGACGTAACCTCAAAATGCCGAACTCCGAGAACAACGCCTTAAGCTAGTAAAAATGATATCCGGACCCAAACCATGGCTCGATGGAGAATCGAACTCCGGACTCTCCGTCAATCGGTATCAAAATGTGCATATTACGGAGTGCGTTACCATTACGCCATCAAGCCGTAGGAGTCAAACGACCAGTCAAGATTATCACCGTAAAAAGAATGGTTTCCATCGGAATGGCTCAGCGGAGAATCGAACTCCGAACTCTCCGTAAAGCATACTGTGAACTACATAGGAATGCGGAGTGCGTTACCATTACGCCACCGAGCCATAGGAATCGAACGACCGGCCGAAACTATCCCCATGACAAAGAAGGGTTTTCTTCATAAATGGCTCAGCGGAGAATCGAACTCCGAACTCTCCGTAAAGCATACTGCGAACTTCATAGGAATGCGGAGTGCGATACCATTACGCCACTGAACAGTTCAAAACCGTGCCCTATCTTCTTACTCGATGGACAAAAAGAACAGGCCCGTCGGAGAATCGAACTCCGGTCCCTCCATTATTTCAGTTTCCCGCCAGCTACGCGAACAGAGTGCGTTACCACTACGCCACCGGACCATGGCGAGTAATACGAAGGTCCGGTAAGAGGCGGACGAAAAAGGAATGGTAAAGAGGGATGGCTCGACGGAGGGTTGAACTCCGGACTTCCTGCAAAAGAGGTGCTTGGGATGCATTACAGTTACGCCATCGAGTCGCGAATACCAAACAGCCCGAAAGGATGGAACGAGGACTCCGGGTAGCCAAAAAGGTGGGTAACATGGAAAAAGGGCTCGACGGAGCATTGAACTCCGGACTCTCTGTAAGTCAAACACTGGGGTGAAAGGATACGGAGTGCGTTTTTCCACTACACTATTGAGCCGTCACAGGCGGAAGCGGATAGGAAGGGAGCTAGGACCGGACATGGAGTGTCCGAGGCCAGGGCCAACAAGTCCGGGTTGCGGAATCGGTACCGGACTGAAGATGGTGCGGGTAAGGGTTCACGGAGTACTAGAATGAGTCATGAACGAACTCTGAGGCGGAGGAGCGTGCGAGCGAGCAGGTATGGGACACAAAGGAACAACTCCGGCACAGCCTTGGGCTGGGGTATAAATACTACAGCTAGTCTACCAAAATATTATCTCAGTTTTGGCCCACATCCTCACCTTCTAAGCCTTAGCCAGCTTAGGAGTAGCTAAATATCCGCCCCGAACATCACCTAGAGGTCACCGGAGTCGAGTTACACAGTAAAGCGACCCCGGTACTCCCCCGCCGCCGTCAGACAGCGAATGGAGTTTACATTTCGGCATAAGAAGTTCAGCGCTGGAGAAAATCGAACCGTTTATTCCTCCCCTACGCAAGTAGGGCAGTGAAATCTCTCAAACAGCACAACGAGGTCTTCGGAGATCGTGTGTAGCTGCTAGCTAAGGAAGTTGGCGGTGCAGAGCCCGCAGGAAGTCGCCTTCAGCAAGCGAACGGGTGAGAAGTAGAGAGAGGAAACTCCGTAGAGGCACAAAGAGGGGTAAAGGGAGGAGGAATTGCCGGA